ATATAACAGACTTTTGGAATTGGTTGAAGAATATTTGAGATCGGATTAAAAATTATAAAGAGGAAAGGACAAAAAATCTGTAGAAGTTGGCAGGAGAACTGAGAAAAAAACTAAGGATTGCAAGCCAAGGTTCAAACTATAAGCTATATGAGTTCATATTCAGTAAAAATCAACCAAATCAACTACGTACATCAGTTATGTCATTTTAACAAAACAACCAAGTCAACTTAGATTTGGACAATAATATTAATATGTCATTATACAGAATCGAAAAGGATAAACTGGAGTCAGACCTCAATAAAATCTAATATGTAATCTGTTCTTGAATCAACTTAACTTAATATTTGATAAATTCAAGCTTGTGATTGATGAATTTTAGCTTTTACCCAAAATGTAGACGTACTGGAGCTTTTACTATTTCCTTTTGAGGTTTTCAAGCCTTTACTGATTGATACTGACCCATGTATTCATGATACCACAACTTTTAACATGCTAAGGAAAGGACAGAAGTGTAGACAATGGATTGCTAATGAGGACAAGGAATCCAAGCCCATGTGAAAGGGGAACATACTTAATCCTTATATCCTTCAACGTCAGCAAGTATGTTCTAGCATCAGGGATGTCTTGAGTTCGTGTCTGAATGGTGTATTTGATTCTCTGTGATTCTGAGAATAAATCTGCCCTGTAAAGAAGAAAAAAGAAGGGTTAAAATTACTAATACAGAATTCATGTGCATATATTTCTGTAATATAAATTGACTATCATGCATGTACTAATATGCACACATGACACATCTACTCATGCTATGTGATTAGGGGAAAAAAAATGAACTTTCATGAAGAAATATGAAAGATAACAGGCTGCCTCAAAAAAAGCAGCATGGACCACAAAAATAAATAAGAATCATATATGAATCGTTTCTGGTAGCTATTTTTCTAGAAGGTATATTGTACATGGAACAAAAAATAACATTAGTGATTCCCCCTTAATAGTTGAGGCCATGAAATACTAATTTTCTATAACTGATTAACCTCAACTCCATTTCAAGTTTATAGGCCACAAATAAAAGATACGGTCGCCATGTAGTGAGTCCTTCAAGAATATGTACGGTTACCATACCATTACTCTCCAGCAATGCTCCTCTAATTCATCTAGAACAAGATTGTTTCCAAAAAAACTTGCACCAAATGCAGAGTCTGAATTTCATTAAGCGAAGTGTATAGGGGGGGGACAAGTTACCCTCAAAAGTAGTAACTATAAATAGAAAATAGCAACTGCTAATATGTAAACAAGCGGTGAAAGAATATCTGGACAGAATTTTTATTTGACAGACCATAATCTTCATCCTTCATTAGCAAATTATTTTTGAGCTAGTCAGTAGAAATTGAGGCAGTGGCTTTCAATTACTATACTCAAAAGCATAAAATGACCCATCTACCTCTCTGCACCAGTTAATTGAGCAAAAAATGATAGGGAATCAACCCACAGGCCACAAGTAGCTGTAGAGGATTTAACTAGAGAATGTAGAAATCGATGCAAAAACACTCACTTCTCTCTTGCCAATTTCATGACCTTGGCGTATTGAGCTACTGCAGCAGGATCATCTGGATCAATTGTGATCTTCTCTTTCCGGAAGACATCAAGTGCTGTCTCGAATTTCTTTTTCACTTCCAAAAATATGTTCTTCAGCATTTCTTTGGCACCCATATGAAAAAACATTATTGATTAAATCACAGAAAATCTTAAATCAAATTGCATATAGAGAAGTTAATGCACCACTCAGCTAGCTTCATAGCTCTTATATACACATTTCTAATGCAATTCTCTACAAATTTATGTTTAATTCCTTAAAGACATAACTACGACTGTGTGATTCTGTGATAGAAATAAACACAACTTCATAGCTCTCTCCCTCTCTCTCTAATTGAGCGTGTTTTGCCTCACCATCTCCCTTCAGAGCAGGCCGAGCAGCCTCTTTTGCAAAGTGACGAACAGGAATAGCATGCCCCTGGTGTAAGATACTTTGACTGCCAAGCACCTGTAACAAGGGGCACATAAAAACCCACGTTAAGCAGCTGTTCATGATCATTACGCCTCTAAGCAAGATAAATTAACTATATGTATACTTCCCCTATAGACACTGAATTACCATTTCCAAACAACACGGCTAACATTTTAATCTTTATCAAAGTCACGCTAATAACAGAAAAATCAACCGCAAACCACATACTTTACGTCATCCAAAGGAACCCTAAAATCCCAGATCCTAAATAAACGGTTAAAGAATCCGATACCTTCAGAAAGTTGCAAATTACAAGAGCCGAGAAGAAAACATCGAATTGGGGGAAGGGAGGAAATGATAGACATTCAACCATTTGCAGGATCCGAAGGAATATTTCCATATAATAAGCTCCATTCCCGAATAATAAACACAACACTCATATATGTTAATCCTAAAATGTTCGTTCCAACAAGAAGAATCAGGGAAATTGAAAAATAGGGTAAACGGAGCCGATCCAGAACGGAAAACCGCTAACCTGCTTGGATTTGGACAATAGACGGGAAGATAAAGCCATGGCAGGAGCTCAGATTGCGCCTTTCTTGTGATGCTTCGTTGGGTCGTTTGAGGATTCGAAGTAAGATATAAGAGCCAAGAGGAGTGAGCCCTCGTTTGAGGAGGCGTCTATGCGAAGCGGAGGGGAAGCTCTGCAAGAAATGCTTCAGTGGAGCCTGCTCCTCATCACGCGGTCTACTTTAAATCACCACCGTTGGATTGTTTGACGTTCATTTTCTGATGTAAGGCTGTGATCTAGTGGAGACGAGTGCACCCTCGATCAACCTGCACCTCCTCCTTCTTTTCCATTTCCCGATTTGAAATTTGAAAATCGATTTTTTTATTGTTATAATCTTTTTCACTTAATTTTAAAAATTTTTAAATTGATTATTTAAACTAATAATAACAAAATTATAAATAGTGGCATTGCTAGTAACTCAACTGATTAAGATATATATCATTGACTAAAGTTGAAAATTTAAATCACAAGATTTATAGCCATGGTGTCAATTAAAAGATTATATGAGTTAAATTATGAAAACAGATAGTCTTAATATTGTTAATTTGGTTTGTATAATTCAAAGTTAGTGTTGTTAAGAAGATAAATTATATTCTAGAACCGAAAATTCTCTAATTCAATATCTAAGGTATGTTTTTTACTTCTTACCAACACATAAAATCTTTAATCAAATTTCAAAAAGAAAAACAAGTTTTTCGGTTTTTAAATTTTGACTTGTTTTCTGAAAACGTTTTTAAATGGTAACCAATAAGTAGAAGTAATACATTTTTTTTATATATCCATAAGTATACAGACCAACTTGTATTATTCTCATGGAACGATTACCTGACGATAATGTTACTTTGATTGTCACAATGAGATAGTGTTTATAAGCTAAATTTAAAAAACAGAAAATAAAAAATATAAGTGTTATCCAAGCCTAAGATATAAAAAGTTAAGCAAGAAGAGTCGACTTTCCCCCTCTGTAACGGTTAACAGCAAGTATCACCAACACAACAACAAAATATTTGTAAAGTATATCAATATTAGAATCAATGGTCGAACAAACTAAGAGTCTTTTACACATTCTAAGTTTTTTTAAACATAAGACTATCAAGTTTCTATTGAGTCATTCATATATACAGATGATGATCCTACATATCTGCAGCAAATGATTTTCCACAACCACAAGTTTGTGTAGCATTTGGGTTCTTGAAAGAGAAGCCACCACCAATAAGTGCGTCGCTATAGTCCAATTGCATTCCAAACAAGAAGAGCAGGCTCTTGGGATCACATACTACAGAACAAGGAGAGGAGAAGTTTTGTATCAGAAGCTCGAGAATAGAGCAAACGATAAAAGTGAACTAAAATCTGTCGTAAAGGATATAACGTAAAGAGCATAGTGGAAAACGAAATAGATAAAGAGATACTTTCATAGTCCACTAAGAGATGCCCACATTCCTCTATCTATAGAGTAGAGAAATATTATCAAGGAATTGAAACAACATGCAAGTATATGTTGAATGATATACATTAAAGAAAAATATTTTGACAAAAGTTGAACAACCTGCATATCAGTAGCATAAAGAAGTTGTTGACGTCTAATTATTAAAGTCATTGCAACGTCCAACAGACAAATAATGATCTATAGAGTAAAATTATTCTTTCAATAGTCCTTCAAATCTATGACAAATGGCTCGAGAAATACCCATCAATATCTGAATGTATATAAAAGAGTAAGCTTGTCTGATCCTAAGAAAAATTGGAAACTTGCAATTTATTCCAGGGGAAAGAAAGTATTGATTCCCAAAATATGCAAAACTAGATTTAGATACTCCACATTTTCTGTAAGAGATAAAAGCATTGAAGAAATTCCCCAAACACACACAACAAATAAAAATAATAAAGGTTAAAATTTCCCACTTTATATGTTGTGGCCAATTAGAAAATAAACCATCAAATTGTCATCAACAGATATAATGAGTTCAAGCAGGATTTCTTCAAACAGTTGTTGAAAACCTCACAGAAGTCCAGAGTGAAAAAAGTGAAGGTAGAACTCTTACCAATCACAAAACCATTATATTCTATAATTGAGTCATCGGGTCTAGCATTTGCCCTGTTCTCAAACTCCATCGTGTAGGACATACCAGAGCATCCACCTTGTCTGACACCAATTCTTAAGCACAAATCTTCATTGCGATCAGATCTCATTTTATTCAAGTGGTTCAATGCATTATCTGTTAGTGAGATAGCCGGTGCTATACCCTCTGATGTTGGTGCTGCTGTTTAGTCAGAAGTTACAAATTAAGAAGATGGAAAGGTAAACCTTGATTATAAAACATAAGATACTCATCACATTTCACAAGCAGAGACCTTTAGGTAATCTTTTGATCTACAATAACAATAAGCCCCAAAGGATAAATGTCATAAAGAAAACCACAAGTAATATTGCCTCCGAAGGCATCTAAAAAGAATAAACAATCAATGCTACCAAACGCTCGATCACGATAAATAATGAACTTCTTCGCCCCCACATGAAGATCAATTCATCCCAATCATTTAGGCATTGGTACCAAGACGTAAATTTATGGTTTGTATATCACCAACAGGATTTCAAATTAGAACTCACAAATAGGTCATCAATTCAAGTAACGGAAATTCATTTTCCATGTAACTAAAGAAGAAAATCCCCAATATTTTGTTACTTAATTTCAATATAAAACTTTGACCAGTTAGAAATTTCAGTTCCAAGCAACTCATACCTGAATCTAGGCTTAATTAATCAACAATAATTCGAATAATGAGATTGTTTACAAATTCCTAATTCGAATCCAATCCAAAAGACGAGAAATTCCTGACCTATTTACACCTAAATAATCCAATAACAAACTACGGTGTTACAGTGAATTATATGTCCAGGAATCAAGGCGGAAAAGATAGGGGAAAATAAAAATAGGCGTACCAGGGACTGAAACCGATCGAACTGATAAGGATTTCCTGCGGCTGAATTTCGTAAGTGAATATCGGAAGGAAATTGAACTTTGAGTTGCAGAGCTTTCGGGAAGGGCACGCAGGTGAAGAACAGAGGGGAATTTCATGGTAGCCGAAGAGAACGCCATCGGAGAAAGCCGGTTGTGCTGCCGCGTTTATTCCGGTGAACGGCAAATTGCAACCGGTAAATATGCGACCGCCGCTTGCGACTAGTCGGAAACTTTGTGATCGAGCGGCTAGAGTTAAGATCTAGTTATTCGGATTTTTTATTCATTTTATTCTGTCTTTTTTCTTTCTTCTCTGCAAAACATGTTTTTTTTTATTTTATTTGAGGCGTAGAATTTTTTTCTTTCTTTTTT